GTGAAATTGAAATTGTTAAATTGTGTTTTTAAGCTAGAAAGCAAATTTATATAAATCAAACACGTCCGACAGACAACTATCAAGTCAGTGTCGTATTCTATATTTTTTTCAATAACTTTTTAAGTAACTCCGACCGATATATTAGATTTAAGGCATAATATTTACTTATGTTGAAATATTTTGCAATAAAGAACTAACTAACTAAGTACCTAACTAATTAACTATCTCACACATTTTCATAACTGATTGGTCTATATAATAAGAACATTTAATTTTCCTAAAAATCTAAATATATATAAGAGTAAATAAAGTTTAATTAATTAATTTCAAAGACGTGAACTAAAAATTAAACTAAACATTTAAGAGATATTAATTATATATAATCAAATTCATATGCTTCAATAATTTATTTAATAAGCAAATAAAGCCATACTATAGCGTTATTAATGAATATGGAACCAAACACGTCCGCTCAAAATACAAAACATATACAACTTTTGAACGCGGACCTGTTAATCTCATAATTGAACGATTTTCAAAGGTAACTAACTGAAGTGCGTAATTCGCACAGTAATTAATTGAAAATTCAAGTATTTTAATCAAAATAAATTGGTCTTTGAATAGCAAATCGACTGCAACTTGTTAAATTGCGGTTTCAACGCTGAGAAATAATAAAGACTTTAATTAAGAGACCCTGAAGTCAAAACCATAAGTTACCGCTACGTTAAACCGCAAATCAAAAATAATTTTTTTTGCCGCCATACGAAAAGATACTTTACGAAAAAAGGCATTACATCATATCGACTAAATTTTATGCTAAGAAAAATTATTAACTTTTACTGTAATTATTTTTATATTTAATAAGGGGCAGTCTAATTACTGATATTTTAGTATAAAAATAAAATATTTTGAGATACTAAAACTTATAATAATAAAATGCGTGAAAATGAAAGTCAAAAAATTTAATAATAAATAAATAAATAATAATATTTTTATGGCCTTAGGTTAAAGGTGCCATAAATTGATTGTACTTCACCTAATGCCAAAAATTTAGGAAAAAAATGTTATTGTTACACAATAAAATTTTAATAAAGCAAATTATGAGGCACAGCATGCATAACTGCCAAAACCCCGCCCGCAATTTCAGACGGTCTTATGTATCTGAGTGCCGTCTCATATAGTTCGCATGTCCATTTGAACTTGCCAATGCACAGCCAACGTCAGCTGGGTTTTTACTTTCCAATTTGGATTATTCAGCCACAGAACGCAACATGTCTGACACATAATGACCACTTTTCTGTGCCAATCTTTTTGCTATTTTTTATTATTTATTTTTTGCTGTCATATAAGTTCGATTGCTAGAATATGATTTTTGACTCCGTAATAGGCTCTCATGTAGCGCCTATAATTTTAGATTTATAGCCGCAATAATTTTGCTGAATTTTGTTTCGTTTTTAGAAAAAAAAAATTTTATTATTTTAATTGCTCTGTTTGGTAGTGATTTGACTTAAATGGACTATGTTTATTCATTGATACATACAATGGAGGTGATAGTTACACATATAATCTACAAATTGAGTATTATTGGAGCGAAATAATGGATTAGTAATAGCTTTAATTCAGCATCGATAATCTCGTTAAAATTTTTGTTAATAAATTTAATTATCTTCGGATTAAATTTGTTTTAATTATAATCTAATTTAATTAAAATTTGTAGATTTATTTATCATATTTATTTATTTTTTTGTTTTTTTATATTATATTTTAATTACTTTTAAAATTTTTTTTAGAATACAATTGTTTTTAAAAAAAATGTGTTATGCAAATATCATAACGCTATAGTATTATCATTAGTTTAACTATCATTATTATTGAAACGAAGAAATCGTGTACTGCGAAGATCTATTATGCCCCTTATCCAGATTAGAGTGTTTCTTCAAGTCCGATTTTTTTAATGATCGGCAGTATAAGGCCTAGTCTTGAATCCTTATGATCCATTAAATTCCATTCTAGGTGCACTCCTCAAGCACATGGTATGCAGTTTCTCTCTCTTCTCTACAGTATCTGCAGTCAGAGTTGGATTGAATTCCTAATTTCGATAGGTGATTATTCAATCTACAGTGACCGGTGAATAATCCCACAATAATTCTTATGTTATTTTTTGATTGTGCTATGCAATCTTTGAAACGTTTTATGTTATAAGTCCCTAAAAGCATTTTAAATTATAATAATCTTGGTAGCCTTTTCTAATAGAGTTCTCTTTCTTTTTCCTCTGCGCCGTCCATAAGAATGGATAGAGTTCCTTTGCCTAGACCACAAAATGGTTCTGGGACTATCGTTTTGGAAGCCGCGCCTTTTCTTTTACATCAAAAGAGCATATGTATTTCTAGGTATCAATAAAGCATCGATGGTTTTCCTATGACATGCAGTGTACAAAAATACATTTACTTGGTATGATAGTGGCATCGACGGTTGATTCCAAGTATCTGCTGAGTACTTAATGCGACCGTGAAGAGAAATTAATTATACTAAAAATATAGTCATGCCGGATAAAATTCCCCTAACTCACAATATCACGAATTGCTGTTGGCAACAACGCCTTATGATTCTAAATACTTTAAGTAAGTTATCTGCTTATACGACTGGAGATATTGGTTAACAATGATTAGACCACAACAGATCATCATCTTATCAATATTTGTATGTTTATTCTAATTTTAACAACAAAATAAACTGCAATCTTACAAGCAAATATAATTTTAATAAATCTAAATCAAAAAAGTTGACAGTTGGCACTTCTGTCATCTTAACTTTTAATCTAAAAAATGTTCTCAAACATTCTGCTATCTTTGGTTTTTTGTGGGCACTTATCTTGGTATGAAATATATTCTTGTATACATATGTTTACCTCTACAAACTAAGGTCTTAATTTAGATATTATTCATTATGATAGATACTAAACTAAAATAGCTAAAATATTTAAAAATATTGAAATGAAAATTATTTAGCTTTTAGCATTTCATTGTTTTTATTCAGATATATTAGATCAAATACCTGTAGCAGAATGTTTAAAATAAGTTTTTAGATTAAAAGTTAAGATAATAAAAGTGTCAACTGTCAACCTATTAGATTTGAGTAAGCAAATCATGATACGTCAAATTATGACACTTGGGCGTATGAAACCTGCTATATACAAAAAAAAATTGATACTACAAAATGATTTCTTTGTCTTGTATCTATGAAGTCTTGTGTGAGTTAAGACTTTCATATTTTGGGTATCATATACGAAAAGTCGAGTGTTGATTTCTTCTTAAAATAGCATTAAACACCATACTTAAAAATTTTCTAGAAAACTAAATGAATTCTAAAATAAGTTATTAATTTTATTCTCTACGTTATCTGTTGAAATTTATGAGAACAAACGTATGAGTGTTTATTGTCCAGATTTTGTAAGTTGGACTTTTCTTTTATATTTAACATTTAACTTATTAAAATCAGCTAAATTTTTAGTTTTGTATTATATAGTCAAAGATACTTATCAGATATTAATTTTTAATGAAAATACAAATTCGTCCACATCTATGCATCAAGTAAAGTAATAACCAAGAATATAAATAGTTTATATCATCTGCGACATCAACTTCGATGATCATACCCTTCGTACTTAATAGGTTCTAGCTTAGGATGTCTCATCCTTGTAAAACAATATTTAGCATGTGAAAATAGTATTGTATTGTAGTGTATATATAAAACATTGTAAAAATGTATAAAACCATATTAAATACGAGTATATCAACTTAACACCCTCCAAGGTGTGCTCAACAGAATTTTCAACAATAATATTGCTACATTATATATCTTTTAATAGTTACTTAAAATGTGTTTTTACAAAACCCTAAATGATTTTTAATAGCATTTTTAAAATTGAGAGTATTCCAATATTAAAATTAATGTTTTGCAAATCAAATACGCAATCATCGGTTAAAAAGACTATGAAATTGATGATATGGATATGGAAGATATGTGATTCTAACAGAACTGTGCTACAGGCCAAATAATATGTCCTTTCTTCACTTTGTTGTGCGAGATATATCTCAGACGAATAATCACATTTCGGCTTTGTGCATGAATCATTATGATATTGCGATTGAACACTGCACTTTTCTTGTGAGATTATGCAATGGATTGTATTAGGCGTACAGACATTTAAACTCTCCTTGCGAACGTTCTTCAATGAATGTCCGAACTATTGCTAACACTGTGCTGACAAATTATCGAATACTATTGTCAAAAGAATCTAGTACCGTAAAATGTCTCGTGGAGTGTATTCGGATTATATTGCATTCATACTTTTTGGTTATGTTCAAAAAATATATTTAATTAAAATTATTGCTGCTGTCTAACTCGCAAATGTAACTCAAGAGAGTTGCCTTTCACAGATCCCGACTTCTAGATTTCCCCAGATTGAAGAAAGTGTATGAATTCTAGTTTTATAATCCAATTTATCAGTACTAGATTTATTGGTTTCATATATAAGTCATAGAATTTATTTTTACTGCAATTTTTCTCCTTTTAATAGCATCTCTAGAATAATTTTATATGATGTCTCATATTCCGAAATTTAGTTAACTTACCTCGTAAATGCAAATATAATTATTTACTGAATATTCATTTTATTCCATTTATTAACAAAAATTTAGACATTTCCGCAATATATGAAACAGCTGTTAATACACTCATTCAGTTTGTTTTTAGTTTTATGAATTTTATTTATTTATTTTATATAAAATTAGAACAAAGATTTGTGAAAAATATTAGTCTTAATCAGTAATGAACATTATTGACAACTTTTAATAGAGTAATTTTATAAATATTCCGGTACAGAATTTTTTGAATACATTGAATATTAATTATTTAATTATTATTTAATTTTTTAAATTTATTTTAATTATCTATAATAATGTATATTATTATTCCGGTACAGAATTTTTCCAAAACATTGAATATTAATTATTTAATTATAATTTAATTTTTTAAATTTATTTTAATTATCTATATTAATGTATATTATTGTGTTTTCACTTCAGTCTTGACGCACTTTCCTGGTGTACGATCGAAGTAAACTAAAAGATTATCCAATAATGAGTACATCTAAGAATCGCTTGTTTGTATTATGATTTACTTACATTCTCCAGTCCTACAAATATGATTTTCCAATACACATTCATTGGGAAAAGTTCGTTCAACACCATTGCGTTTAGCACAAATTGGCTCATATAGACGTGCGCAAGCCCGTGTGCATCGTTCTTGACAACTCTCTTTCGATGTTGGCGTAAGTTCTACACGAATTCAATGGAAAAATTTATGCACTGAAAAAAATGTTGATAAAAGTAAACTAATTCGATTCCTTACCACGTTCATTATTAATTTTGCGTAAACACTGACGTATCTGCTGATTGCATAGATTTGTGTCCACATAACATTCTACGCCATCAGTTGACCACACAGGCTTTCCATCAGAAGGACAAGTTGTTGCAAAGCAAGCAAACCCGGTTAGAACCGGTTCGGGTGCTATATCAATGGTTGAGTCATTATTTGCATCGATATAATGGATCACATTGAAGAGTAATCCAATAGCGAATAAATATTTTTTGAAATGCTGCATTTTTAGAAAAAACTTTTTAACACAACGTTCTGATTCGAGTTTTATTTCTGAACTGAACTTAAATTCATTCGAAATCTATAATAAAAATGTATAAATATTTTCATGTGTTGACTTAATGAAATATGGTTTATCCAATATGTCTACGAATACAAAAAAAAAACCCACGTAAAAATCTTTATTTACATTAATTGCTAAGTACATATTGCTGTTTATTAAAAAGTTAAAAAATTTTTTGCTTGTATCTATTTAAAAAGATAAAATTTAACAAAATAATTTCAAATGAACGATTTATTAATATTTATAATGTTAATGTATATAATATTAATTAATATTTATATATTCAGACAAATGTATAGAGCAAAGATGTGTATGCAGTCCATCGTATCACAATATGGGAACTTAAATGAAATTATCTTTGTAATAAACATGTAGATAAAATGTTAATAAAGGTCAGGGTTTCGGTATACGTATTTAATTTTATCTAATTTACTGATAATCATATGAAGATACTTTTCATATCTAAACATTTTATCAAAAAATACTTACTGTTTGCACCACTTTCACGCTTCATTATTCTTCTTACCTAAAAATATGCTTTTCTTTATAGATGATTCTTCAGAGTTATATCGTAATTTTGTTATTTTTTTTTAAAAAATTATGAAACAATGTTTTGCAATATATTTTATATTGCATTAAAATTATGAGTCATTGTTTAGTAACTTACTAAAAATGCTAATGTGACGCCACATCTTAATGAAACAAAACTTAACTACTAGCGAGCCATCTTAACCATTAAAACGTATTAATTAATTCTGTAATCTTATTCTGTAAAAATGATAAAAATATATCATTCAAGAACAATTATTCATACTGGAATATATTATGCACTATATTTGAATAGATATATGAAACCATTACTATTAAAAATTTCTTCCACATAAATCATAAACCATAAATTGCACATTAAATGGATTATATTACTAATTATATCTTTATTTTTAAAATAAGAAAAATATATTTAAACTAAGATTAAGTACTAGTAGATAAGATTTCACTTAAAGTAGTATTGTTCATGCCTAGCAGCTTCCTCGTTTGTAGTAGGTGTAAGCTTAAAAAAGATATAAGATATTATTTTTAATAATTTTCTGAGTTTTGTTTAATATTTCAATATTGAAAGTATTGAAAAATTATGCTTACTTTTTCCTGTTTCACAAACATATTTTCTTAAAAGACACATGTTGTTAAAGGTACGTCTGTCTCCATTATATTCAGCACAAACTTGGCGCAAGATTCGTGTACAATTTTCACCGCACTTCTTTTGACATTGACTCTTCGTGACACTTCTCAGAACTTAAATTAAAATAATATATATTATTTGATTACAAATTTCATCACAATGAATTTGAATGATATTGTTGAAAAAGTGAGTGAATACCTCTTTTATTACTACTCTGACGTTGACAGTTTTCATTTCTGAAGAGACACTCATTACGAAAGACGTAACATTTATTAGCACTTGTAGCCCAAACTATATCTTCCACATTTGAGCATCTAACAGCTGCACTGCAAGGTAGTGGAGTTGTACGAGTGGGACGAGTTGGACGTGTTGGACGTGTTGGACGAGTTGGACGTGTTGGACGAGTAGAATTAATTGGTCGAGTTGGACGAGTTGATATTGTTGGACGCGTTGGTCGAGGTGGACGTGTTAAATTTTGTGTTAGAACGCTCTGTAGCACTAGCATCACGCAAGAAACTAACAAAATTTTAGTAACATAGGACATCTTGACTTGTGTATCTACAATGCACTATTTTTTTGATTGTACAATTTAAAACTAACTGATTTATGTCAATTGTTCATGTTTTTATAGTTTTCTGACAAATGTTCCCAAAACTTTCAACAACAATGAAAATAGTTAGGTAATTCAGTTGTTTATTTAAATGTTTCACTTTGGTTAAAAACATCTTTCACAAATAAACTGTTTCGAAAACTAATGCGGAAAAGTATTACCTCTAAAATTGAGTTTCAATAACAAATTCGAAATAATTAAGTTTAACACACAGAAATGGAAACTGAATTAGGCACTTCTCATAATATTTACAATTCTTTTGTTTTTCACTTTATTTTCTACTCGTACAAATGTTGCAAGTTGCTATACAAAATATAATTAAGAGTTTATTTAATAAAAATATATACAATAAAAATATTCATTATTGTTATTGGTCAGAGGTTCCCAACTCTAAAGCTGTCTAAGACACATGTTATATACATTACATTTGATTACATAGCAAGTCCTGAGAAATCAATGCTCATTAACAATGGATTATTGTACCCATCATAACTTTACTAATACACGTTATATAAAAAACTTTATACCATATTTTAAAGAAAACTACAGGCATTTCTTTCCTAAAAGAGCAGCGACAGCTATCTTTTATAAGCACGAACAAGCCATTATACTTGTGATCTCTGCATTAATCGCTATTGCAACCCGATTACGCTCTAAGCATCTAATCTACTACAAGGTTTCAGCGGGGATATATTCTGCCATAAAAATTGTTCCAAACACACCCCTCTTTATTCATAGTATTCTCGTGACACCTGCACATCAGTACGTGTGCTTCGAGGTGGATTCCTTCGGGCCGTGGCTGTAGCGTTTCTGGACATACTATGCTCTCCTCTTGCACCCTGCTTAAAGCTCTGCTAATATTTAATTAATTAAATAATGAATGAATTAATTAATAGTTATGTCTGCAAATAATAACTTAAATTCATTATATCCATTTGATGTCTTACATATTTATATAAATTAATTTATTGAAATTTTAATTATTATCAATAACTTTCGAGAAAACTTCATAATCTGCATGTATTCGGAAGAAATGACATATTTTAATTTCTAAAATATATGATGTTTAATTATATATTAATTATATAGCCAGATAGGATCTTTAATGTAATATGGCATCAAAACTTTTGTTTATCTATCTTTAGCTATCAACATTGATAAATAAAAGATTGTGGACATAAAAACTTTTATATATTTTATTTATAGGGATATAACTAGCTTATAAAATCTAAAATAGTTATTTTAAGAAATCATCAGGTGTTGTCTTGCTGTTCCCTATGATCCTTTTCTGTTGCATATCTCCATTAGTAATAGAATAAGCTAATACTTGAGGATTGAGGTGCGTTCCATTTTAGATTTTATTTTTTGATTTATATAAAGATTCGTTAAAAGTGTTTTCATATAACTAATGCAATTTTATGATTATTCTACTTTATAAACAATGATATGGTATTCATATATATGACTAAACAAAACCAATCGGATATCGATGTATAGGATTTTAATAACACTTCCCGGTTTATATTCAAAGTGGACGGCTTATTTTGTGTCCTATTTTGTAGTTCTTTTGCATTGCAGATTGGTTCGAGAGTGTCTGAGTTTATCAAAACTTAAAAAATTTTCATTAACTTCTTTAAGTTAAAATACATTTTATTATATCATTCACGAATGAACTAAATTAGTCAAGCTAAAATAATTATAATCATATTTTTTTATTGCTAATTTGGACCTTAAGTCTTTTAACAAGAAATCCTTATAAAGATTTGCTAAATCTTTTACAAATGGAACCAACAGATACTCCGACCAATTATGATGATGGTCAAGTCAAGAATTAAGTTGATTAAAAACTAAATTTTTAAATATAAAAAATTTCATTACCTTAACGCCTTTCTCTCAATCGTTTTTCCAGAACTTCACTACATTCATATGCAATTTTTATTTTTATATATAAATGTAAAACAATCATTCCACATATATACATTCATGTACATATATATTTACAATTGCATTTTATTAAAAACAATTATAGATTAAATAAAGAAAACTTCGTTATTTTTCTTGTGCAAATATCGCACTTTTATTATCAAAAAAGATAATAAAAATAATATCTTTATAAATCATATTATTATGAATAAAACATTATTATTATATAAAATAAAAAATATATCTTTTGTACGAACTAATTATAATGAAACATATTTTCTTATTGCATGTAATAATATATAAAAGACTTATATTTCCTGCCATAAAGAATATTCTTAACCTAGATTCAAAATAAATATAAATAATGTGAAATCAATAATATTTAATTTAAAATATAGTCTGCGTTCTGGTATCGAAAATAACCTAAAATGAAATTTGCAATTTTATTCCTAGTCTTCGCTTTCGGATTTTTAGCCATCGAAGCAACTTGTCCACTCGCCTGCACTAGAGAATATAAGCCAGTCTGTGCAGAACTGGTTGAACGTTTCCGCATTCGCAAGTGTACCTTCCCAAATAAATGCAATTTAAATGCACGAAGATGTTTGAAGCCAAATGAAGGTAGGACAACATTAAATACAAACTTATTTTTATCACTAAAATCGATCTATGAATAATTTAACCTTAACCAATATTTTTTAAACAATTTCAGCTTGGCGCGTACGTCATCCAGGAGCTTGTAAGAGCCAATCAAACCAATGTAAAAAATTGACAAAATTGTCATAAAACTAATACCATTATTTTCAAAAATTAATATAAACAATATTTAGTATCTTAAACCTAAACAATTAATCAATACAACTACAGAAGAAAAAAAATTTTTCAAGAATTTATTAGTAAATTTTTAATACATTTTACATTTCGATATCGTATATAAATTAAGAAATTTATTGATCAATATTAAACAATTATCGTCTATAAACTACAAAACAAAAACGATTATATGCTTTCAAAATATCAGAATAAATAAATAACAAAAACCGTAGATACATGTAATGTTTTTATTTACAAATCTTTCAGCAAATGTAATTGATATAGATTTCTTAACCATGTGTATTTTCTGCTTGAAGCAATTCTTCAAGATTTTATTAATATTAATTAGTCTCTTAAAAGTCTACACTATAAACATTGCTGAGAAATTACCAGTTAGTAAATTTAACAACAATTATTTTTTATCAAAATATCAGACAAACAATGTGTTAAGTAATTAAAAGTAGTTAAAAGTAATGCATTAATAAATTGCTTTAACCTACTGAGACATATAAGTTACATTGGAGAATTATAATTACTCTTATCAAGCTGAACTTAAAGACAAAAAAAATAATTCTCAAAATGTTATAATAAAATTACTTAATTTTAATTAAACTTTTTTTAAGTAGTAATTTATTTATTATTAAAATAACTATTCATTATACTATTCATTTATAACTATTCATTATAAAAATGATAGAACTTAAGTAGCGATCATGAAATAGTATCTGTTTTATAACTGACTAATTTTTATCCCCTAATTTATAAAAAATAAAAAAACACACTGACATAATAACCGATTGTGCTGCCAACTCAATCTCAGAAATAGTATATAGCATACGAGGGCTCCAACAACCTTGCCAAGGTGAATAGGAATATGAACCTGTGTGTAATGCCGACGACGCAACTATTAGTAGAAGCAGATCGAACACGAATATCGGAGAGAAGCATTTGTTTGAAGTCATCTGATTTTCAGCATAAAGCGGAACTGGAAACCGGAAAACTGGTACATCAGAACGCCTCATTTTGATTTTAAACGGGCTACTTTGAGTTAATAATTGAACAGTAAAATCTGAAATATTTGTTCCAATTCTTATATTTTTAATTATTATGCTACCAAGATAGCAAAATTCGATGACGTCCCGATATCGATGAATTACTTGTAGTTGCAATAAATACTATTAATTCATATTTACTCTTATATCGACACTGTCTTCTTAATTTGATAAGTACAATGGTTTCAGTTTAATATCCGGCTCTTACTGAGAGAGAAATTCCAAAAGTGCAAAAGACCGAGGCAAAACTTATAAACATATTTTATTATATATATTTCAAGAAAGGCGAAATAAATTGGTACAATAAAAGATTTATTACTTTTAGTGTCAATTAAAGTTAAAATAAAACATAATAATATATTCATAACATTACTTACTTATTTATCTAAATTTCCAATTTAACCCTTAGTGGAGTTTCATCCTAATGCAGCAATTATCTTTAGGCACCTTTACTGCATGCGTGTCTTCTTCAGTCTCGTACTTCAAGTCAGATTAGTGCTCCCTCAACTTAATCACTCCACCGGAGATAAGATCTAACTTTATGCTTTCGCTTTACATCTGCATCTTCAAGTACCTTTTTACTGAAGATGCTTCAGTAAAAGATGCTTCAGTTCAGTCGTGATAAAATGATACAACCAAGACAATGTCGTGATAGAGCTTGTACAGTTTGTGGTTCTTTCAAATGCGGTAATCATTGCCAACTCGTTGAAAACCAAATATCTCACGAAGGACTTTTTTCTCAAAAAGTGCAGTTTCATTATTCTGTGATAGCGTCCATGCTTCTGCCCCATCCAAAAACACAGGTAAAAACTTAAGCGGCCTACAGAGTATTCATTTTACTGTAGAGAAAGAGAGAGATGGCACGAAACATCCCAATTGCATATTTATCCATTAGTGGATCCTACTAGTAATGCTAATTTTGCATCTGATCTCCAGGCCGATATCGTTGTTGTTGGTTACGGTTTATTTAGTCGACAGCCACTAGCTTTATATTTTATTTCTGTCAGTAACTAACATACATTTCATTTATAAATTGTATTATAAATATATAATATATTATAAAAAGTATACTATAATAATAACAATAGTGTTCATATTAAATAATTACAAACACATTCCAGATGAAATTAACAGCATAAAGTGAAACGTTATCTAAACTATATTTCAATCTGCGTCTGCAGATCCATATCGATTAGTGATGCGTCTTTATGACGGATTCGAATAGCAAAGAAACTATTTAATAGTTAGACTTTAGGTTATAATTACAACTTTTGGTTTTATAGTTAGCCAAAAATTCAATACTGAAATTTTATAATAACTAAATTTTTTCAAACATTGGTTATTAATGATTATTTAATTCCCTTATATATTGTTAGACTAATTGTCGTTGGAAAGGATACACAGACAGAATGAGAAACATTGTTCTATCACATAAGTATATCAAACTGGTTTTTAATATTTATAGTTTATTTAGCTTCAAATAATTTATACATATATATATATATATTTTATTTATTTATAAGTATATATGTTTTATAAAAATGAAACAATAAATAATTTTACTCTACTTTCAATTAATCTTTGCTGTAGATGCAAACAAAAATTTATTATCAATTAAATATGAATTTTAAAAAAAGAACTTATGAACAAGCTCCTAGTGTTGCGTCGTTATAAGCTGAAAATAACAGAAAAAAATAATTAACATGATTAGTTCAAAACCTTATATAGTATGTTCACTTACGTATGCCATTCCAGCAAGACCATTTCTCCATTTCGCACCGATTATCGAATGTTGAAGTCATAGTGGATGTTTCTGCACCTGCGTAATAATAGAAGTTACCGCACACAGGATCTTTTGCAATGTTAGTACAATCAGGACAATATGTTTGACATTCCTTTTTTTCAACTGATTTGACTTCTGTAAAATTTTATAATTCAAATTCATATTACAAAGTTAAAAATTTAAAGAATTCGCGGCATATACCCTTTAGACAATCATTTATACGACTGCAATTAACGTTGCCTAACGTACAGCCATTTGAAAATACTTTACAGACACCATCGACAATACCCCAAGCAGGATCACCATTGAAATATGGACTACAACGGTAGAATCTTAAACATCGGCTTCCGCATGGACTGAATTCGATAGGTTCCAAAAGCGACCGTTTTCCTTTCGCCGAGAATACAGTGCCGATTAAAGCAAAAATTAGTACTCGTCCGAGATACATTCTGAAGGCAGTGATAAAATGAAGGTTTACGTCTTTTAACTGATGAATTTATAAGGTTCGCTGCAAATTTTTAAGTATGAAAACAATTTTTATATTTACTTAGAGCGCCAATTATTTGTGCAGCTGTTAAAGTCTAAAATTAGCTAAGAAAAAATAATGTTAAAAAGTTAATTGCGAATGAATACTTGTCAAAATAATTAAAAGCAAACATTTTGTTTATAATGACGTCATATGGCAAATTGAAGTTATGTTTTATAAATATGGAAAGTGGATCTAAAAATTATTATTCAATATTTATTTCGGTTTTTACCCTTTGTAGTTAAAAATATTATTCAAATAATGCAATAATTTTAATTGTTGAAATTTATTTTTGAAGTAAGAATTATACCTGTATATATCTTCATTAGCAAAACATGACTTTATATATAATATATTAGTTAAATATTTAATTAATAAATAATTTTATTCATTATGTAAATACAATAAATTAATTGAGCGCTTATCCAACGCTTTTATTTTTTGTAGAGTTTCTAATGATTAGGTTATAGTTGAAGGTATTATATAAAGAGATCATGTTTCAGATACTGCACAATATCGTACGGTCCAAAACTTATTGCAACCATTATAACAACTTTGTTGGATTTCTCTATAAATAACCACACAGATAAGCTTCAGTTCCTATCTGTGGTTTGCATAATGAATCAAAACTGTAAGAACTCTGATAGCTTACAATATTTACTGATTTTTGGTCATAATTTTACTCGGTTCTTTTTATTATACCGAGTATAATTAACATAAAAGACAGGTTTTATAATACCGGCCTATTGGTCCATTATGTTATCGTATAAGGGAAAATTCGGAGGTTTAAAATTCACCAAAAAACCTTTCGTAAAGCTTAAAATGCTATTTAATAGGCGTTATATTAAATTACTGTTGAATAAAATGTTATAACTACTTTTAGTTATAACATATAAGCTTGTATACTACATAATATCTTAGTAAGTTTCAGAGATATAGTGGGTTCATATAGTTGCAATCATTTTATAACTTTTATAAATATACTTTGTTTATTATAATTATTATTTATAATATATAACAGGTATATATCCGATAAGCTCAATAAATCAAATTAACCCAATGTATCTATATGTGATTCTTTCTGTCGATCTATCTGCATATACGGCGTCTGCTTTTTCCAATACTAATTAGTTGTATAGCTAAATAAACAAAACTTAATACATCTATTTTTGGAAAATAGATGTTATTATTTAATTCTAAGAAGTGTGAATATTTCTCTCTATATTTCAAAGAATTAACATGTAACTCCGTTCTTTAATTCTTTATATGAATGTTATTAGATATTAAGTAGACTACTTATTTAAAAACAAATGATTAATTTGACTTTAGCTCTTAATAAGCTGAGAAACATACTTGGTGGTAACTCAAATGATATTTTTGGATTGCCATAAGCCTTACCAAATAGGTTATATTCTTTAAATTATTGCAGTAATAACAGATACAGCGCTCAAAGTTTCCACCACAGCTAATCACAAAATCTCATGGCTAATCAATCAACACCTAGAAAATTTAGACTATGCCGACGACATAGTACTCTTAATATGCAAAAACGAAAAATTACAAATCAAAATGGACGCCATAACAAATGTACCAACAAATATCGGATTAAGCATACTTTTTTCAATGAAACTGCAAAAACATTTGGCAAAACCACGACTAGCGGGATTCATATACCTTTCTACTCATGCCCATGCCTTTTGGGTTAAGCGCGATGCAGACTAGGAGTTT